TAAAACATGCCAAAAACATACGTATAAGTAAATAGTTAGTAACTTAGCCAAATTATCAAATAAGCCATAAGAATATGCCTCATGTTCTTAAAGTATAATTTACTGATTTAGCCATGTAAGAGTATCTTTTCATATCAGAAATCACATCTCCCGATAGAGCATATCATGTCGGAGGAATCACATATCACATATTACATCAGAACCGGAACCAAAATCAAAATATCAACTCACGACAGAGTGTATTATGTCGGAGGATTCACAATCACTTATCACATCAGAACCGAAACTAGAATCAGAATATCAACTCATGACAGAGTGTATCATGTCGGAAGATTCGCATATCACATATCACATTAGAACATAAGGATCCCATATCAGAATCAAAATCATAATCAAAATCAGAACCAGAATTCAGAATAACTTCTAATCTAGATTTTCAGAAAACAGTTATAATGGAGGATGAATTTCAATTAAACATCTATTTTCAAATAACTCACTGCAATTCAAAATAACGAATACCTGTCCCAATTTTTCTTTTTATCAAAATCAGAAATCATATCACATCAATCATTTCATAATCAGAATAAAATAAATATACATAGAGTAAGTATTGTCACTCACATTCCAAACTAGAGCCAAAAACCCGAATCATCGAAAATGAACTTACGGATCGAAGCGTGTCTCCTCAAGCAGGTCTACAATCACCACATCACATAATCAAAATCAAAATCGAACTCCACCTACTTATGGGCTTTAATAGCCACAATAAACCAGAACCCCATTTTGGGACCTTTGCACACATCTCAAGGTCCCTTACCTCACTCCCAAACCTGAACTAAACTGAACCTACAACCAATCCCCGTATCAAATCATCAACTTAGGTTGTACCAGCCTCGAATATCTTTGAACTAGCTTGGTTCGGTTGGAAATTGCCAAAACCAACCCCGAAACCCATCGAACTGGCCGAACTATCATTAAATTGATCATGAACCAGCTCTCAAAACTTTAAACCAACCATGAACTGGATCTAAAAATTATTAAACCATCCTTAAAACCATTAAACCGAGCTGAAAACCCATTGAACCGGTATTAAAACCACTGAACAGGCCATGAACCCATTAAACCAGTTGTGAACTGGCCCTAATCTCGCAAAACTAGTCATTAACAGTATTGAACCTGTCATAATACCAATTGGTTTACATTCCTAGAAATTTTCCCATTTTTTCTATGTTGTTCCTCTATTTTTCTCCTTTTTCCATGTTTTTCTTTTATTTTTCACCATTATTTGGGAATTTAAAATTTATTATTTTCATGATTTCTCACCAAATAATTTCCTCAAAATCATATAAATATTATTTCCTATTTTTCATGATTTTTCCCGAATTTTTCCCATTTTCTTCTATTTTTCCTCAATTTTTTATATTTCTATTATTATTATTTTTAAATTTCTATTGTTGGATCTGGATCCCAAATCTAGATCTTACCCATAACTGGAGTCCAGAACCTAGACCCTAAAATGGCTTGGTCCACTAGCCGCAGCCCAAGCCCTATTTATTTATTTATTTATTGAGTTGAATCGACCAAGTTAACTCACCTAGTTAACTCAGTCCAACCATCTTTTTAAACCCAGCTCAGCCTAGCCCAATGGGCTAGGCCCATATCCACATATCTGGGTCAAATTTAGTCCAAAAACTAGCCCATATCTGATTTCTAGAACTAGGTCAACCTCTTGACCTATTTGACCGGCCAAAACCTGGTATGACAACTGATAAAAATGCTCAAAATTGAACGATTAAATGAACAAATTACCTCACGATTTTTGAGTATGTTATGTCAACAAGTTAGAAATCAAGATGGATGGCTTTAATTGGCTTAAAAGCAACTTTTCTGGGCTTAATATGGCTTTAAATAGCTAGAAGGGGTGGATGGACACCAACAGGGAGATCTAAGCAATTGAAGCACTTCAGGATGGCTTTTCTTCAAATTGATTGAGGGGTTTTGTTTGTTTCAAGTTGACGGTTTAGAATCTATGCTCTTTTTGTCAAAAAAAGTCCAAAATTAGCGTGAATTGTCGACTAAAGTGTTGGGCGTGATTTTGCTATTGTTGACTTGCAATCTAGTCCCTGAACTATTTGATTTGTTACAATCAAGTCCTTGAACACTTAACAGAATCTGACCTAATCCCTGTAAATTTTATTTCAGTCTTTGTAACTTTCAATTTCATCAATTAAGCCCTCAATCTTCCAAAATAGACCCCAAACCTTTTTGTTCTTCCAATTTAGCTCTTGGGTTATTAAATGAACTTAAAATTTTATATAAAAATGTGAGATATTACAATACCTTTTTCATTTGTATGTTTTATATTTATATTTGATTTTTGGTACAAAATTTATATTTGAATTTGAAGTTGGATTTTTTTAAACTAAATAAAAAAATAAAAGTCAACTTTAAAAAAATAAATATTAAAAGAATCAAAATTTTCTTTTTCTAAAAAATTTAGAAATATAAAAACTCCAATAAACAAACACTCCCACATTAACTCAATGAATATAAAATAAGTGATAAAACATTTTTATATTTATTGAAAGTATTAGATTCAATTCTGTAACAATACACATTTAAAATGAGGCGGCCAGTCATTTAAAAAAAAAAAACTCACATTTTGTCTCCAAAAAGTTTTGGAACGTTTTATTTATACTAGAATTTGAATGATCAAAATTAAAGTGCAAGGCTAGCTTATTAGCAAGGCATTGGGCAAAGATCAATCTACATAACTTCTGAAATTTTACATTTAAGTACTCTCAATTCAGGTAAATTTCTCATGCATGACACAACACCCTCGTAGTCACTACAGTTGTCCTCTTGTATTTTTCTTCTCGCCCAACCTAAAATTTTATATTTTGAGCAACTCTATCCAGCATCGGAATCTAAATAAAATAAATCTGTAAATATTATTATTTATCTTTGAGCGTCATACATATACTTTAAAAAAAAAAAAAAAAAAAAAAAAAAAAAAAAATCTTGTTCTCGGGGAGCCATCCCTCTCCCCCAGGGCACCAACAAAACTCCGGTGACTCTCTCCCTCTCCATACATGAAAAAATCGTATCTCTAGGCCTGCAAAATCTTGCCCCTGGAGGAGCATGAAGGCGTGTTTGGTACCAGTTACTTAAAAATACAAAGCTTTCTTTTTATTTTTTTTACTTTAATGTGCAAGAAAAAAGGGTTTTAAAAAAAATTAAAATTTAGGATCTTTATTCTTGTTAGAAAATTGGAAAATTAAATTCTAAAAATGCTCGCTTAGAGATTTGAGAAATTAAAGCTAAGAATTCCGAAGACTCAAGAATATCAAATATTTTCAAAATTTCCCAAAATTTAAAGTCTGAAAATATGGTAATTATGGACTGCAAAAAGCTCATCGAAATTTGAATTGAATTTTTTCCAATACTGGAGTATTGTGATGGGACGTCAAACATGCAAGGTTATTTATTTTTGTTCTTCATTTTCAATTTTGTGTAGATCTAAATTTATATTTGCTGATATTGTTAAGGTTAAATCAACATCTTAAAATATTAAATCCAAATCCAAGTTGAATGAGTGTGCCTCGTAAACCTATGGTTATTCACAAGAGTAATTGTGCAAAAATGTTGGAGTTGGAGAGGACTGAAGCATCCCAATCTGGAACATCTTCCAATCAAACAGAACAGAATAAAATCAAAACGCCCTGCAAACATTTTCTAAACCTTGCCAATGTCTAGAATGTTTTAAGCCTCGCTAGACCCAAAGATAAAAATAAAAATAAAAAATTGAAACAGAAAAATCAAATAGAACTGCGAAAAGATGAAAACTATCATATCATAAAACAAAAGAAAGATTGATTCAGAGCCTCGGGAAGAGGTCCCAATAAAATCTGCATGCACTGTTATTATCATCGTCAGAGATTTTATGATCCAACCCAGAAAAGAGAAACTCGTACTCTAACAAACCTCTATATGACATCTAACAGTTAATGCTAAAATTCGTGTCGAAGTTCCTAAAACAGGATCCGCAATGAGAAGCCAAGTACACATACAAGAGATACCTACATAAAGTTGACCTAATTATCCAAGAAAGAAGTGCAGCAAATATATCCTTCATGGCATACCATAAAACAATATTACTCGTCCAATCTTGCCACAATACCACATAGATAATCATGACAGAAAAGAAAACATCTAACCAACTTCATCCTTCCTGGCATAAACATATTTCATGCAAACCCTATAGACCTTTTTCCAAGTTAATTATTAACACATGATTTTTGCACCATAATTGCACGGAGGAATGCAGTGTACAGAACTTTTCCAACTAAGAGGCATGAAGGAACACATGACAAAGAGAACTAAAAATCTTGTTATGTTGTCCAGGTGTCCGACCTGATGGCCCAGGAGAGGTCATAACTCAACTAGTAAATGTAATGCACTAGCAAAAGGATTAAAACTAAACCACTAAACTACAATTGTACCCCACTAAAAAACGAAGAAGAAGATGATGACGACCACATAGCTGCATAAAATTTTATATATCACTAGTAACTGTAAGAAACCACAAAAATAGATAATTACTGTACATCCACACACCATTTTTCTTATTCACAGATAGGTTGTCTGTAAATAAAAATCATGAACCATTAATATAATGCCCGATCAAATCATTTCCCCCATATTCGTAGAAATGAGCATCTAACTAGTCACATCAGATTAGTGTACAACCCCTGGTCTCTATGCATACCTGTAAAGGAATGAGTTTGAATTTCATCATCAGCACATTGGTGACTTCATCCCATTTTTTCAGTAGGACAGCGGTTCCCTCATTTAGAATCCTATAATTGTTCACATGCTGGGATATACAGTCCAATTCTCCAATACTTTTCTATGTATATTTATACTGATGCAGGTAATATCGTTGGAGCGGAAGCATGAGCAAAAATCCTTCTGGATTGACTTTCAGACTTGTCCTTGACTCAGATGAAACGGTCACTGTTGTTGTCACCTGCATTACTTTATTTCAAACTAAGATTGGTTGAAGCCCTTCTTAAATATAACCACATAAACGAGAAATGCCTTGATTGGGTTACCTTTTGCGTTTACTTTTCAAGACTGTAGATGTGGAAGGATTACTGTGCCAGTTCCTCTTCCTCTGATTAATAAACCAATTATTTATCTGCTTCAATTGCAAGCCAGTTTCCTGTACCAATCTTGTCTTATCTTCCTCCTGAAAAGATAAGAAATATACACAGTATGTCAGAAAGCTTACTGACTTAAAGTTCCTACTTAGCAATTTCACAAGGTGAAATTAGTTCAACAGGATCCAACTTTCCTCTTTGAGTAATAAAGTGATGAGGCAGTAGAATAGAATATTCACTAGTGCTTCATCCAACGAAATTCAAAATTATGACACCCGAAGTAACCCACTTAGGATCATTATTTTACTCCCCAGTCACAAGCCAAACTCAATTTAAATAGGTGACGACTAAACTTACTGTTGGATATGGCCACTTGGAATGTGACTGCCACCAAGCCTTCAAGACAGATGTTGTGTCACCAGGGAGTTTTCCAGCTCTTCTTTTGCGCAAAATTTCCTCCCTGATTTCTTCAATCTTCTCCTTGTAACCCTTTGGAAAGGAAAAACCTAATATTAACTGATATTGCTAAAGATCCACTAAAAATTATATACACAACTATTTAGGTTCCAACCTGTTTCAGTTCCTGCTTCAGTTCTTGCCTTACACGCTCCATTAAGGATCTTTCACTCTCTGTTGGGATGAGAGGACCAAATCCCAATGCATCAGCACCCTCCAAACCTCCATCAAATAAGTTGGTATCACTATCTACTTGGTCATCATCATCATCAGACATTGTAGCTCCCGTGCCTTCTCCTGGGGAAACACCTGCTTATGTAACACGTTAAATTAGTTCAGAATTAGTCAATGCATAGAGTTTAACTTAACAAGCCCACTTCAATACAATGTTTTTGCTCTTGAACCATGATGCTTCTTTTTAACAATGTTTTTATTGACAAAATAGACAAAGCAATGAGTGATTCTTCAAGAAAATCTTTTAGAATCCATGTATAGTGACCTGAGAATGAATTTTGGGCAACAGTAGCAGCTTATAAATCATATAGCCATTTCCACAACAATGACTGAGCAAGTCGAGTGTCCACTTTCAGTTTAAAAATAAAATACTAAAAATAAAAGAAAAAATGTCGTGGCGGTCAAGTTAGAGGCCAAGTGCTGTAGCAGGACTTTAAAGGAATGCCATATTACAGATCAAATATAACGTGAAGGCTTCAAGAACAGACAGAAGCGTGAACTGCAACTTCTCAGCACATTTAACACAAAATCTTTTGTCCATACTTTAGTGGAGCAATTATTAGTTCATTCTCACGTTTCTGACCAGAAATTGGATATCCAAGCATTGGACATCTAATGACAATCTGTTCAGAGAAAATAAAACTTCCATTTTTACTGTTATATGTCATTGCTAGTTAATTTTATTATTCGTAATCTTAAGTTTTTGCTTAATATGTTTCATTCTATTAACACTTTATGAGAAAATTCATTATGACAAGAAGTCAGTTTCCAGTATGGCATGGGATGCAAATTAGTAGACCCCACAGAAAAATTGTCTTTAACAAACCAGAGTCATGACTCATCTTATTTTTTGAAATCACAGCATCATCACAAAAATATTATATACTGACAGTGACAAGGACATTCCTGTTCTTCACTCAAAGACTTTGTTTCTTTCAACAAATCAAGACATAGTATCCCACTACAAATATAAGATACACTATCAATTCTTTCAGAAAATTGAATGAAGAGATATAGGATTATGGCTTCTTTGGTGTATTGGTTAATGTTTACATCCTCTGCTTTGATATTACAGCATTTACTAACTGGTAAATGCCAAATGATCTAACCTCAAGTTTTAGAGTAGAAACAGAGGAAGAAAATGAATTATGGTAAACTCTGGACTAGGGGTTGAGCTAGCCTCTGAAAGTTTATTAGCTGCCTGATTGTAAAAGGAAAGACTAATAATTTTCTGGTCCAATACAAATCCCAAAAAGGCAAGATTAGCCCTTCACACTTACAACACTTTACCTCTAATATTTTGCTCCTCATGGCTTCTTTCCACATGTCTGAGACTAGAATCCATAGTGATACTATGAGAACAAGTTTCTTAAGGAATTTTTATGGAAAACAATATGAAAAAAGAAGACAATGTTGAAGTAAATACAGTTGGAAGTTGTGTAGAAAATAAAAGCACTATTAGTCCCCAGCCATCAAAGAATAGTATAATGGTAATGTTTTTGCAAGCAAGCAAACAAAAGTTTGACACAAGTAAGAAGTATTTCAAACACATTACATTCCTGTGACATACAGAATATGCAGATACTGAAATGTACCTGTTAAGCTTTGTAGAGATTGTTCAATCTCCCAGCAAGCCATTACCGCTTCCATTGCATGTACACGAACATGTTGTTGCAGTTGTTCTTTAAAAGAACAGAGTAACAGCACATAATGTGTCTGCAATATAAGAAAATAACAAAAAGAGTAAACATAGTGGATAACTTACTTTAGAATGTAGCTGACTGATGGATGAATAAATTACTGTGAACAAGATTTGAGCTTCATTTCCAAGTGTACTATGAGTTAATTTCTGCAATTTATGAATGTTAATCACTTGGTCAAACAAGAGGAATTATCTGTTAAATTACATTCAATTCACTCTATTTAGCTCCCCAGAAATTGATATTTGAAATATTATACCAGTGCTCATACAGTTAATTTTGTGTGGAACTAATACTTAAATGAGACACAAGATCTGTGTGTAGCTGATACACCAAATGACAGAAAGGTCCATAAACAAAGCACCATAAACAGAGCACAGAAGCCATGCATAACCATACTTATATCCTCATTCTGGAAAAGAGATCTTCCCTGTAAAAGGGAAATAAATTAATTGAAATGATACCACAGACTAGTTCTGATATAATCAGTGTTCCGAAATATGCTTTTATGTTTCTATCCACCAAATACTGAATTTTGGCTTTCAAAAAATATGAAGAGTGTTAGCTGAAAGTATTACCAAATTCCATATCAATTTTTGCCAACATTAAAGGGAGAGAGTTTTTTGTAACCTGAAGTCATGTTTCAATCAGTTTGCAGCAATATAATAACTTCCAGAAGATAGAATCTGTAAAAGTCAGCATTTTATTCAACTTGCAATCTTAAAATTCCTAATTTACTGGTGCCACCAAGATCCACTCCTCAGTTTTCTTGATACTTTGGAAGGAAGAGTACATAGAATCCTCTTTCCTATGTAATAACATAATTTCTGCTAGATACAGTTTACTTCACAATATACCAACTGATTACTGTGGCATGAATTATTAAAAAAGTAATCTAAAGGGAAATTTGAATAGCATTGCTGCTTAAATTTTCATGAGTCACTGATTGAAATCTTTTTCATGTAAAACTCATCAGCCAATTAAAATACCACATTCACCAAGTTACTTCACAGGTACTAAAATAGAGAAGCTTTTGCTTCTCAAGAAATTTGGCCTTCAAACTCTTAAGCACTTTTCATTTGACTGAACGAGTGTCATATACCAAAATGTCCAAGCATCATAGCTAATTCATGGAAGAGACTTTTGTTAAGAAATGAAGATCTTAAATTACTCCTAAGTTGAAGGACTCTTATCTCAAAGCACACAATTGATTAAAAAAATCCCATATAATAAGAAAAATTCTGCTACTATATAATATATATGATTTAGAGAAAATTATTGCTAAAATACCATATGTTGATTAGCAAAACTATTTTTTATATCTCGAAATATTCCATTAAGATGAATCAAAAACACAGCACTCTGACTGACTTAAAAGTGGCAGAATCACCTAGTATACTAATATTCAGTTATGGTATTAGAATATTTCAGTGAAACATCTATTTGGATTTTCAAATTCATCAAAAGTTCCTCAATTCAATTGTAGTCACATTGTTGTCATTCATTATCTTCCCATTTTGGCTAATGCAGAACTCTCGGAAATTTTATGTAAGCAAGCTTCCACTTCAGATAATGACATGCACCCTTTCTTGACCCTGTAAATAACTCCAAAAAGAAGTATAGGCTTAAGTACCCTTAACTAACAGCAAATGTAACAATTTGCTCACCAGTGAAAGAAAAAGATTATAAGGCTTACTACTCTGGATCTATGGGATTTACCGTTCTTATCAATTGGTTCCTTGAACAAGAAGAGAAAGAGGAAGGTCAAAATTAGCAATGATTCTTTATTATTATTATTATTTATTCTTTTGGCGCTACATCAGGAAGGAAAATCAGTAATAATTCTAAATTATACAGAAGGTCAAGAATGAGCTTGTACCATCTCGGATGATGACTTTATGCTATGGCTATCTCCATCAACAGAGGAATGTTTTATGGTCTCTGCTCATGGAATCTATCCATTTATGCAAGGTACACAATTTCATTCTTTATACTATTACATTTTCTTTTCATATATTAAGAAGGTTTAAGATAACTAAACGGATATTTCTACACAAATATTTCGTTGGGTTCCGGTCATGTGGTCGTCGTCATCTTCTTCATGTGATATTTCTCCTTTCAGGTGATCCAAATTCAGCATATATTTTCGGAACATGCAATTAGATTCTTCATTAGTACTCGACAGCATAAGTAGTGATAATGGAAATCCATATATCAGCAATCCCACATGCAATAAGTACTAGCTTATTTACTATGTAAAAATGACATCCGTAAGAAAACATTTCGATACAGGATTTTCAGTCCCCTACAGCCTCTGCTGTAGTTGTTTGAACTAAATTCTTGTGTCCTTGTATCCTGTCCTTTCTGGACAAGGAACTTTACAGCTTTACAGTAAGAGGGAAATTCCTTGTTACTACCGCCCACCAGATTTTTAACTTAAAGACAAACAATTTTTATAAGCCGATACAATGCATATCCATTTGCAGGTACTGGGTTACTGGCTGGAAAAACCGCCTATATCACTTTTTTATTTCCTCATTTTTTAATCAGCAAAAGTTTCTATATCTAAAGGAAGTTCATAAAGGTTATGGAAATTTTATCCTCTGATCATTTGTTTCGATCGCCGAAGAGATAAATTAAACGCTGCTATAGACTTACAGCATAAAATAAAAATTGCATCAACTACATAATCCCTCACCTGATTTTGATTCAATAAATCAGATTAAAGACCCAAAGCAAATTCAACTTTAGTCATAATCAAACACAAACTAAGGCAAGGAAAAAGTCGGAGAGATGATGACGGAGAAGTTTATAACGTGCAGGAAACAACAAAACAGAGCACAAGAAGCTCACCATAAATTGATCGAGCTCCTTGTTATCACCAATATTGCCATGGCCAATACCCGAATACTTGGCCACCACGTGCTGAGACTGAGCAAGCTGCGCGTCGATTCTGGGCAACTGATCCACCGGCGTCGCTATACGCAAGCACGCGACGTGGGCCGACAATAACTGCTCGTAAAGCGGATGAGCCAGAATTTCAGCCTTGTACCGTGCATTCTGCCAATTCATCACTCCATCGCCACCGGTACCGCCCCCGCGACCGCCCCCGCCACCGCCGACATCGCTCTCTAACAACTCTCCACCTCCTCCCCCATTGTTCTCCACCTGATTACCCCCATACTCCTGTTATCATTGTTACTATTGTTTAAATCAGCTGATTCGTGCGATATCGCCGCCGCGATCATCGAATCGTTCGAAACCTGCACGTCATCCCTCACGTCGCTGACATTCCGCTGTAGAATCGATCTCGAAAGCCATTGATTCGAAGCCTGAGACGTCGCTGCCGAGTCGGAGTTCGTGTGCAAGTTGAGGAAATTGGCGTCGCCGTACTGGTTCTGCTGCCGGAGAATCGCACTGCTGAGCCACGTCGGTGGTCCTACGCCGACTTGCGGCGGTTGTTGCGCCGGCGGCGCCTTCCTCGCAGACTCCAAGATGAGTCTCTGTATGTCCTTGTGGTCCTTCACCGCACCGTCCGGCGATGACTGACCGAGCTGCTCAGGCAGTATCGTTCTCAAAACGGAGGTGTTCTCGCTCAAGTGTTGATCTGAGAAATGCTGTAGCGCCATTTCTTGCGAAAGATGATTCGGAAACGCCATCAACAAAATGCTCTCACCGCTATACTCTCACCATAAGCAACACATGGAACTACGATAGAATTTGCAAGTGCAAAGTGATAAACTACAAAGAAATTCAAAATATAAATATGATGATCCAAGGGTTTATTATATATAATCCATTCTTGCACTAAAGAGAGAGATATAGAGGGAGAAAACTAGGTAGAAGATGTATGCATATGTATTTAGAGAGAGGGGGAGAGAGAGAGAGTGTGTAACAACAGTGGTCCTGTGGAAGGATAGAGAGTTACAGGCTAGCCTAAGCACTCACAAGCAAAAAAGCTATAGGCATGGAAGAGAGTGAGTTCAACAGCGACATCTCTCATCTCTACTGTAATTTAAATCTACTCAGATGAGAGAGAGAGAGAGAGAGAGAGAGAGAGACGCTATCTTGTTACTACAAAATGCATAAGCAGGAGAAGATCGACTTTTAGCTTCGATTTTAAGAGAGTTTTGGAGAGAGAAAGAAATAGAGGTAATATGATATATAGGAAGGCATAGACTATATCCATGTCACGGAGCAAAAGCAGCGAAAGGAGCGGTTTCCGACGGGGCAAAACCGGTCGGCAAACCGCTAGTACAAAGCTGGTTGATTTTGGGTCGTTGGCTGGGAGGGCTTGCAAATGAGATCACACGGTGAAGAATCGTCAACGCTGAAGAACAGTTTGTTGGTTGGTTATACGAGTGGCGCGTGAAAGCACGTGCGAAAACGTGGGGGGTATGTAGCGTTGAAAGAGGGTTGTGTATTCGTGGAGTGACTTTACGGATTGACGTTTGTGTGAATGTGATGTGAAGAAGTAGCTTTCTCTTAACGTAACTTATGAATTCTTCCACGCGCAATTTTCGCGCGTAGCATAATTTGAAAGAGTGGAAGCGATACAAGCCAAGGACTGTTAGGTGTATTTTCTAGTTTTATAAAAGTTTTTAAAAAACTTCTCTATATATCTTACAATTTTGAGTACGATTGTGCGAGTTATTTTTCAGTAAAATTATTATTTTAATTAAAATTTATTTTACCTATTTAAATTTTTTAAAAATTATTTTATCTAAAGTTTATTCAAAAATAAGTAGAAATAAAAATATTTAATCTCTATTTCTTATAATTAATTATATAATTGTAAATAATTTAAATTATATTAAATAAATGTATTTTAATATTTTAAGTATAACTATATTTACTTTTATCTAAATTAACAATATAAATATAAAATAAGAATAATAAAATGTAATTAATAAAACAAAAATGTAACAATAAAATGTTGAGCTACATGGGCTCGTATTGGGAACAATTTTTTATAATTTTAAAAGATAAAATTTCTCAACCATTTTTTTTTCAAATTTTTAATTTCTAAGCTGCAGAACATGAATAAAAAAAATTAAAAAACAAATAAAGGAAAGAGGGGAATTTAATGATATAATATAACAAAATCCAAACAATTATGCAATGTCATGTAAAATAGTGGAGAAAAATTAGAAGGCTACTATCAAGGTTATTTGGTAAATAAATGTTACATAACATATTTAACACTTCTTAATTGAATAGATAATTTAAATATTTTAATATAAAAATTAATTATTATAATTATTTTGTAAAATATTTATTATCTATTTTTCAGCAAAATTTGTAAATATTCTCAATTTATATACTTTTAACATTCTCTTAACTATCTCTAAAATTTATCCTTCTTTAAAAATAGGAGATCTCGTAAACAAGTACCTGATTCATTTTTTAAAAAATTGCAAAATCTTTTTACCTTCTTAAATTTTTTTTCTCTATCCTATTTAAATTTCTTAACTTCCTCTTTAAAACAAATATTTTTAAACTGATCGATATATTTTATCCTCCAACCTCTTTGGTCTTAAATTATTGGTACAATAGTTAATTGTTAAAATTATAAAAATTAAGTTAAAATGTTATGATTGATAACAAGAATTACTAAACGTATGTAATTTCAGATATTAAATTAAAAAAAGTTAAATTTTATAAAATTAATTTAGACTATTTACTCAATCTTACTAAATTAAAAATTTCTGGCTAGAAATAATTAATTTGAATTTAGTAAAAATTATTCATGATTTGTAACTTCAAAAATAACCATGAAATCAAGCAAGACAAGTTTGCATTTTGTGTTTACTACATAATGGCATCAAAAATTAAGGGCAAAAATCGTTTTTGAAGACAACCAAAATTAATTTTGTAAAATTAAAGACAACTTTTTATTTAGTTAAGTTATATAAATAATCTAATATCTAAAATTAGATACATTTAATAATATTTATAATCAATTATTACATATTAACTTATATTTCTAAAATTTTAACAATTTTAATATTATTTTAAAAATTTAAGACATTAGAGTTTAAGAAGCAATTATAACAATATTTTAACAGTGTTAGTTTGAAGATATTAAATTATATATTGGATAATTTGGGGGATAACTAAGATAATAAAGAAAGTTAAGGAAGCAAACTAATATCTGCCCCCCAAAAAACTATTTTTCTTAGTTATTGTAATTATATTTTTTGAATACTTCTTCAAAGAAAAAAGTACTCAGTCTTGTATCACATACACAAAAACACAAGGTTAAAGAAAAAAAGAAAGATATATACACATATATATATATATCATTTTTGTAAGAATTTAATAATCAACAAAATTAAAAGACACTTTTAGAAATGATATATATCAAAAGCATAAAATTAAAAGAATTTCACTTTAAAAAAAATATAAGTCTGCATACTCAAAAAGAAGTAGGGCGAAATCCAGCATATCTTAATTGTACCACAAAAATTTAAGGAGTGTTTGGTATGTCATTTTTTTAAATAAATATTTTGAATTTTTTGATTTGACTTATTTAAAAAAAATTTAATTATTTTTAAATATTATATGTAAATATAAATACAAACACGTAATTGGCTATTTATCTCATTATTATATATATATGCCTACATTAAAAGTTAAAAGAGAAAAATAATTTTTTAAAAAAAACTTCAAAAAGTGCCTTAAAAGATTACCAAGATTTGCTTCTCAAATTTTTAAATTTTTTTCTTAAGCTTCAATTTGTTCTATATATAATTTACAATTAATTTTTTTTTTAAAAAAAATCACATTTTACAGTGAAACTAACAAATTTTGGGATATCCGTATTCCAAAAAATAAAATGCAATGAAATGGATATAATATGGTTAATGCTTTAAATTATTTATATAAAATTTAATAATCTAAATCTGATAAAACATAAGAATAAAATACTAGGTGAAATGAACAGGAAGCCTAATCCAAAACAAAAAAACTGCTTTGCTTGCAAGTAAGGGTGAAAATAAAGCACATCATTTGTGAGTTACACGTACTTTGACCTATTTTTATTTGAGTAATTCAATTTATTTATTTAATTAAGTTATGTTAAAATTAAAATTTTAATATTTTTATTTAAATAAAGTTAACTTGACTCGTGAACTTGATAGAATGATCTATATAATTAATCATATATAAAATATATATTTTAAATATGATTTATGTCATACATATTATATATTTATATAATATAATATAATATATATTTTTATAATTTAAATAGATCTAACCCGCTAAGCTAGCTAATCAAAAAAAATTTTACAAACAAATTAAACTAAAATTAATTTTTTAAGTGTGTCATAAATTATAAATTAAGTTCATGCTACTAATTTTTGTTAATTGATCTGATTTTTTTTAAATATTGATTTAATTTTTTTTTCTAATCTTACGTACAAGAAATGACAGAAATCAGACCCATGCACCCAATTTCTCCTTTATTTTGAATGCAGAAAACATTTAACTTTTTTAGCTGGCTTCTTGATTGCTGTAATTTTAAAAAAAGAATTTATTAATAAAGATTACAAGTCGTACAAAAAAGGAGGAAAATCCAATGGGAAAAGAAGACGTTTGGTGGTGCTGTGGAGTCAATGAAACAATGCATTATTAACTCCAATGTGACTTTTTTCTTCTTCCTATTTTGACCCTAAAAATCTTATTGATAATAAAAGAAGTGGAAAATTTTGGAGCTTTTGTTGTTTTCATTTGGTTAGTCCATATGCAAATACAGTTGTACGTGTCGGTTGTTGAATTTTGGATTTCTTTTTAGATTTTTTTATTTTTATATGAAAAAAATAGAAAGCATGTAAAATTGTTTATTTATTTTTTATTTATTTACAATGCTTTGTTTTTTCATTCTTCTGAGCCAACCCACGAAAAGAAAAAAGGAAAAGGTAAATAATTATGGAAAATTAAATCTATATTTTTTCTTGATTACGGAAAATTTGTAATAAAGGTACTTAAATTTTTTAGTTACTTGCAAGATTGATCCCATATTTTGCACTTGCTTTCTATTTGGTCCTTACAGTTCAAATTACATCAATTTAACTCCCAAATTGTGTCAAATGTTTTTGAAGACAATAATTGACTTCCTGTTAACATTTTTGACAGCAAAATGTTTATAAAAATTCAACTAATAAAATGAAATCTTCCAACCTACTGTTAGGTGTCATTGTTCTCTTTCCAAAGATTAACATAATAAAGTGTGCAGCACCCATACTTACAAGCACAGAACCCTCTCTTTTCTTATCTGATGCGGGATTGTCCCCGTGACATTCTCCCTCACTCAATCCTGTGATGCTCTCGTTACAAATGGGGTCCCTTTCCTATCCTACCTTGGGTACTTGCGAGACATAAGAGTCAGGTCTGGGTCGGATTTGATACCACTTGCTATGGGCCATTACCCTTTTCCGAAAGGTTAATCTAGTAAGGTGTACAACGCCTATATTTATAAGTCCAAGACTCTCTCTTTTCCTATCCAATGTGAGATTATCCCCGTGACACTAGTCTCTAACACCCCATGCCGTGACACTTCCCCTTTTCCTTTCCCTGTCACCCTTCTCGTTCTTTGTTCTACAATTTGCTGCATGCACACTAAGGCCCGTTTGGATAATTTTTTTAAAAGTAGAAG